TATACAAGATTTATGCATTTACTGCATTAATAGCATTCCCTTGCCCCCAGGGTGTTTTTGCCCCCCAGGGTATATATGTGTGACTGCGTCAATGTGCTTGTGTGTGTGTGTGTGTGTGTGTGTGCGTGCATGCTTCCATGAATGGGGTGGGGAGGTGTCTTGGTCCCAGGCAGCACAATGTCTTGGGCCGACCCTGTGGAGTTGGAAACATATGAAAAGTCGGAACTGGCTACTAAAATTTTTAAAACCTGCTACTGGCTGCAGGTTATGTAAAGCTTAGATTGCCCCATTAAGTCTACCATTAATTAAAATTAAGAATCTGGTTCCCATTTAAAATAATGTGCAGAAATGGAACAACCCAATATTAATGATGTGAGTTTGCATTAGGGAGTCAGTGTTCTAATGTCACTTGCAAAAATAATTATATACAATAAAAACCAAAGGGAAAAAAGTTACTTGCACACTATCTCAAATCCCTATTTACATTTAAATAACTGGAGGTTTTTTAGTATCACTCCAATGGCCATTAGGTGTAAACTCACTTGCCACGTCAAGACAAACCTCTTACAATTCACCTTGCTGTTCCCAGCTAGAAGGTTAAAAAATGTCTAATGAGACAGAGAGGGTTTTTATTTTCTAAACCCCTACACACTTATTAACCCTTAATACACATGGGGTATACAGCAGCACAGTAATATGGCTGTGTAATACAAAAGCAAATACAAATATACAAAAATAGCTCCCACTACTTCTGGTTGGCAGCAATGACTATAGTACACATCAGCCCCAAAATATACAATAAAAAAATAATGAGAAAAATAGTCCATACAATCCCAAATCACTATGTACATTTAAGTACAGTTTTTGTAAATTCTTATATAGTTAGATGGTGAAGCAATATATTTTCACCCTTTTAACACACAGCCAGATCTAATGAAAAAAGGGACATAACATGACATCTAAATATGTGCTTGTTGATATTGCTTAGGTTATATTACAGTTCAGTTCTAAAAATATAGGATGTCACTTTCTCTGCATTAAATTACCCATTTGAACAACTTTATATAGACGTTGCCATTCTATGCATCTCTGATGCCACTGGGCTCAAAATGGCCTCCTATCAACAAATATCAAATAAATAAAAAATAATAAATAAATAGTTTTTTTTTAATGTGGTGTCAGTCAAAATTAAGTTCAGTATTTTAATGAGTCATGTGGTTCATGTAAATTGTATTGAATAGTCTGCACTTAACCAGAGATCTTCATATGCTAATAAATGGGATGAAAATGAGGTGGCCCACAGTCTGTTGAAATGTAAATATCCAGATACTGTTGAGTACTGGGTAGAGAGAATAAAATGAAAAAGTAAAAGATTTCTACAGGTTAGTGGAGATGAAATATATGGTGGGTCATTTTTTTTAGATTACATCATTCATGGTTGGAGAGGGAATATTCTTTTTAAACTGCACTGATACAATGTCATGTTGGTTGTGAGCAAAATAAATAATTGGCTTAATAGCTTTTTTTTTCTAAACACAATCTAACTTTTTCTTACACTGTTTACCTATTTAAAATGTATTCTATTTTATCCAAAATGTTCTAATATTTGCTGTAGAAAATTATTGAGTGCTAATTGTGCATCTGTCCGTTTGCACTGTGCCCTATGTTTTTGTAAGGAGCATGTTTGTGTGAATGTAGGGGTGTGTTTGTATGTGGTGTTGGCATTTGAATGCAAGCATGCATTTATGTGTAGTGTTTGTCTTTGAATCCAGGGTTGTGTTTATATAAATTTTTTGGTGGTGTTTAACACAGAGGTGTATTTGTATGTAATGTTGACGTTTCATGCAGGAGTGTGTTTGTATGTAGTTCTGCAGTTTTAATGCAGGGGTGTGCTTGTGTGTAATATTGGTGTTTTGAATGCTGAGATGTATGCACATGTACGTATACACCGCCAAACACACTGTGACACACATACACACAGATAAACACATTCAGACACACAGATATACACACTGACACACATGCAGATACAGACTGACACAAATACACACACTGACACAAACAGACACACAGATACACAACCTGACACACTTGCGGAAAAACAGACACACAGATGTACACAATGACACACATGCAGATACAGAGATAAACACACTGGATATATACAGAGACACAGACAGATAAATAAGTACAGAGATGTACCTACGACCTAAAGTCAGAAGGACACAGGAGGATCGTCAATAAAATTAAAATCGTCATATGCAATGTCTACCTTTATTGAAAACATGAAAGTAAAAAATAATAATAAAATAAAGAAAAAATATCAAAATTGAATAAACACAAAATACCAACTCAGTGACTGGCAGTTGGATGGGGAGAGAGTGGGTAAGTTGGACTGGGTGGGGGTAAATGAAGTAAAGGGTGTTGAGAGTAAAAAAAGCTCTGCCCTGTATATCTAGAACACAAGGTCATAAGTCTGTAATTATTTATATGTAATTATAGGGTTAACCCCTAATTGGATCCCTTTACACACCACACACGTCTCTCCTTGAGGGATTTTCTGTTTGTTTAGTTACACAGACAGAAATACACACAGATACACACACTGACAACATACATATACATATAATAACAGACAGATACACACACTAACACACATACAGACACGCAGATACACAACCTGACACACATGCACATGCAGATACACATACACACAGATACAAACACTGACACACATGCACATACACACAGATACACACATTAACACACATGAACATACACAAAATGAAACACATGTAGATACACTCAGACACACAGATGCACACACTGATACACATACACACAGATAAACAAACTGACTATATACAGATACACAGACAGATATACACACACAGATACAAACACTGACAACATACAGATACACAGATACATATAATAACATACAGATACACACATATACAGACATGTAAATAACCACAACCTGACACATACAGATACACATACACACAGATACAAACACCGACACACATGCAGATACGCATACACACAGATAAACACACTAACACACATGAACATACATACAATGACAAACATGCAGATACTCAGATACCCACGGACTACATAGAGAAAAACAGTTACACTGACTAAATACAAATATACACACTGACATATACAGATACTGACAGACAGACATACTAACACACAGACTAACAGATATACTGATACAGACAGACACATATACTGACAGACACACATACTGACACACACAGACATACTGACACACACACACACAAATATATACTGACAGTCATCCTGACAAACACAGACAGACATACTGACACACTGACAGTCATACAGACACACATGCAAACGTTACACTTTTAAAGCCACCGGCTTTCCTGTGGTACAGTGACATGCTGAGGTAGTTGGCCGTTAAGCAAGTCCCACCGGGTGGCATTAAATGAAGACGCAGGTTCGTGGGGCAAGTAAATATTTTTTTTGCCGCCCGCTGGGTCCACGGGGGAACTGCTTTGGCTTCCTAGCAGAAACTAGGCTGGTGCAGCTGCCCCATTTGCCCTGCTCATATCTTTGTCAAGCAACTTGGGAAAAGTATGAAAAAAATACAACTCAAGGCACTTCCCTTTATCTATTGACTTCCCTCTCACCAGCTTCACTTATAACTAGCAAACTTCCATATTATCATGTGTAATTCCTACCATGCTAGGCACGAATAATAGGCTGAGAGTTCTGGGATGCCTTATCCTGAGAATTGGCCCAGAGTGATAAACATGGTGACATATTGTAACAGCCCAGGGTACCATTTGATTACTCTGTTGCTGTGGCAAGTTCCAATTGGCTCATATTATTTTCATGAGAAAGACAGTTGAATCAGCTGATTGCACAAATGTAATTTTTATGCACATATAGGGTCTTCGGTTATTTTACCTTATTGACCCTATTGACTAGATTACCCCATATTTGTAGAACATTATTGATGATCATACATTTCTACCTCAATAACTAATGGAGATGTATGCATCATTAAGGCTAACATTGACCTTTTTCTTTATTTGTGACTCAGAAATGTCGACTCATGTTAACAAACATTTGTTTGATCAATGGAGATTGTTACTGGGTCTATTCAATACCCATTTAAACAACTGCATGTAGACTTTGCCAGTCTGTGCATCTCGATAGCCACTGGGCTCAAAATGGCCTCCTAACAACAAATAATTTTTTTAAGTAGATGTGTAAATCCAAATGAAGTCAACACAGTGTCATTTTAATCAAAATGGGATTTATATCAATAAGATATTTAGTAACAATGTGTAGTAATTACTAACAAGTTTAGCATTTTAATGAGGCACATGGTTCATGTCTTAAAGGGATACTTTGTATATTCATTTGCATAGTGTGCACTTAACCAGACATCTTCATATGCTAATACATAGGTTGTAAATGAGTTGGCCCACAGTCTGTTGAAATGCAAATACCCAGATAATGTATAGTAATGGAGAGATAGAATAAAATTAAAAAGTAAAAGATATTCACAAGAGGACCACCAATGGGGAGGTCAGGTCATTTAGGTTGCATCATGGGAATAGTTAATGACAATTAGCCAATAGCAAGTAAGGCCAATAAACAAGCCCACCCGGAAGGTGGGGCTTACTTGTGTTGTTGAAGCGCTCCCCTCACTCTCTCAGAATCACTGTCTTCAGTGCCTTTGAGGAGATTCTTCTCAATCCTGACCGTTCCTAGCATCTTCCTGCTCTCTCACAGCCCATCATTCTGCAGGCCATCACTCTGGTTTCCAGATAAGGTTTGAATGAGACACACATACAAGCCTTTCTTAAATTTGATCTCTAGTCCAGAGGCCTTCTCCAAAGATTTTACCTGCAGCTCTGTTCCCAGCACAGAATCTACTTCAGCAACCTTGAAGAATTCTAAGAAGAACTCTCTAAAATCCCAGTTAGCCAACAGATAGGTTCACTACAAGAACCATGAATAACAATTACTTTTGTTCCAACCAAGGAGGGGGTGATCTACGAATATTTCCAACTGGACGTGAAAATTATCAAGAAAATATGCAAGATGTTACTGGCATGGGCCATCCACCTAACTCACAGAATAAGCAAGGCTATGACTACAAAGTAATTCAACAAGATGATGGGCAGTGTCCACCTCAGAAGAGAAACTTAATGAACCAATTCCCTCACTACTATAACGGCCCTACAGAGTCTAATGCTTACTACACCATGGATTCTGGACAGCCATGGATACCACCACTAAACCAAAATCAAACACCTGACTGCCTAAATCAAGTATCTCCCCATGAAGCCGCCAGTCCTGTAAGCATGAATCGGCCCACTTCCCCACAGGTCATGTCCAATGCTGCTCAGGCAGGGCAAGTGAAGTACCCCATACTCCACTACCAAAAACCTTCACCAGCTATGGCTGAAAGCTGCACGCCTATGAGTACCATATCCAGTGCTGGAAGCTGCACCAGTGCAAGTACTATATCACAGGCATCCACTGGAAGCGAAGACTCAGATGTTGTGGTGAGTACATACTAATCCAAACTCATGTACTGTTTATATATGTGGTTTCTTCAGCCAGCAACATGTTTGGATTACTTTGAGATTTTTTTTTTTTTGTGCTGGTAACATTTACTTTTCAAATTTCTCATGTAATAGGAAATCTAAATGTTGGAGATAGTTTATTGTTTTATTGTCAAAGTATCAATGGCTATTGAGTGAAAATTACACTTTTCTAAAGGACATTAAAGTAGAAAGTAGTGGATATGCAAAAATTTGGTATGATTGGTTTAATGTCTACATTTTAATCTTGTTTATAGTAAACATAATGTTGTGATGGTTTGACAACTGAAAAATGTAGGCCAACATTTGGAAAGGGGGAAAAAATATTTCAGATATTCTTATTTGGAGAACTTTTCAAGCTTGCCACTTTCATCCAATTTTTTCACTCCACTTGTCGATTTAGTTCAACTCACTATTTAATGAAAAAAATTGTCTTTTCATTCTACTTGGTATATAGCTGTAGCAGGTGTGGAACAAATTAGATTATGGCTGTCCATTAGGATTTTATTGTGCAGCCTGTATATGGAAAACAATGGCATATATCATATTGTCTAGTGATACTTTAACCTATTTTCTGCCAATATGAGCTCAAATCCTAGATCAGGTCTACTTTATCAATAAATAAATAGGGGGAAATTGTAGTTCAAATAAGCCTTCTGCATAAACTCAATGACAATGTTGGCTCCAAGCAGAAGACTGTGACGATTGCAATCTGAGTGTACATACATATATGCTTACCCCAAACTTCCATCTTGTAATTTGTGCTTCTGTATAGTTGGTATATAATTGCACTCATAACATTAGTATATAACATATTTAATATCACAAACTATTACTGTGGTTGATGTTTTCCTGGAGATCTGGACATTTGTAGCTGTTGTGCTCTAAACACTTTCAAAATAATTTTGTTTTTATTTTAAGTACTGTTTTCTTTAACCTCAAGTTTAAAACTTACTCCTTACATTCACAGGATAACTCGAGCATGAGTGAGCTTGAAGAATTTGCCCATGATGTTAAAAAGCAGAGATATGCGTTGGGTTTAACCCAGGAAAATGTTGGGAACGGACTAGGAGTTTTATACAGTAAGTTCAGATAAAAAAAAAGTTACCAAGACATTGATTGAAATAAATCTAAGAAAGATATGATTTATATTTAGTCAGTTTGTAAAAAAAAAACAAAAAAAAAAAAAACAACAAATAAAAAGCAACTTATATTTTAAAGGGAAAATCTGGTATTTTAATAACAGCAAGTATAATTATCTAAAATATATGTTATTGATAAATTATTTTTTTTATGTATATGAATGGATTTCATATTCTATATATTTTCTTTGATAAATAAACTCATCCTTTGAGAAAGCACTACAGAGGGTATTTAATGCAAATAAATTAGTTTTTTCTACACTTTGGTACAATAAAATGCAATATGGATGTTATCCCTGAATTTGATGACATGTAGTAGCCTTTGATTGCAATCATGAGCCCAACGTTTGGAAATATGAGATAACGCAAGGTCAAAAATAGAAAATTCATGGAAACATGCACCGGGATACAGTTTCATTGTGCCAAAGAATCATGTTTGCATAAAATGCTCATTGTAGGCTTTTCAGGTTGCAGTTGCAATGTCAGAGTGCTGTCAACATAATTATGTAAAAAGCAAAAGCCAATAACGTAATCAAAAAGTTTATTTTTTTCATATTAATAATAATATTACCATTATTACTATATTCATTGATTTAGTGATAAATAATAAGAGAGTTTTTTTAAAGCCAGAACACATCGACATCACATAACAGACAAACCATCTACTTTGTTACAGATAAATCATTTAGCCAGACAACAATTTCAAGGTTCGAGGCTGTCCAACTTTCCCTTACTAACATGCGGAAACTGAAACCAATGTTGAAGAAGTTCTATGATGAAGTTAAAACAAATCCAGCTATCCTCCAAGTAAGTAAAACACTTTCTAATTTTCAAAGCATGTACTGGGACTTATGTCCTTAAGATTTATTTACATCAAGTTGATAATGTTGTTTAAATTCCACTATTATTAGCAGTGTAATTAATTGTACTAAAACAATAATAACCATTCATCTCCCAACATTGGGAGGTATGGAATTAAGAAGCAGCTAGATTAGCCCTATGGTCATGGTCAAGGACTTGTGTCAGTGGCGATGCCCACAATGGATGAGCCTGCCTGCAAAGGGAGTGGGTTGGCCCATTGAAGTGGTGTGTCAGCCTTGTGTCAAGCACGCCAAGCTGACTGTCAGCATCTATAGCCGTAAGACCAAGGTAGGCAACCATTGATAATCAAGATGGACTGCATCTACCATGATGCATTACCAGAATTATGTCTGTATGGGCATTGGGGGCGAAGTTGTTCACAACATCTGGTGTGCCACAGGTTGCCTTTCCTTGTAGTAGACCATGCAGAGAGTATTGCTAAAGCACACCCTGTATGAATTTAGTGGCTGCTACACAGCTAAAATACATCTAATGATGCACTCTCTCTGTGCTACACAGGGGCAGTCCCCTCTTCACAACTGCACTTAAAACACTGCTGACATCAGTGTTTAGCCTTAAGAGCGCTACTGAGTTCAGGGTTATGGCAATATAGCTATGCTTTTTTTTTAAACTCATTATTATTATTAATAGGCCATTATTATCATCACTTAGGACATGTCAAGTAGCAGCAAGTAGAAGCATATCAAAAAGGGATATGGAAGTCACCCAGACCACTACAGCTCATTGAACTGGTCTAGGTGCAATGACCCTTATGCAATTAGTGCTGCAATGTAAAACAGTCTGCCCACAGTGGCTGTCTACCAGACAGCCCCTAGAAGCTTCCTGTATTGAAATGGACCTTTGGTCTGTTATCTGACACTGGACGTCGTCACTCTCTGCATGGGGACCTCCAATGTCAGATTTTCCTCCTAGAAAAGTACTGATTCAATGCTTTTACTTTGTGGGAGGTCTAATGCAGAGGTCTAATGCCTGATGCGGGCCTTCAGAGGGGGTGGGCCAGGACCCAACACCGAAGGACATCCGCACTTGGTAAAGGTGAGTAAATAACCCTGCATTCACCCAGGTGGGGGGAGGGAGAGGGCGCGAGGAAGGGGAGAGGCAGAGGGAGCTACAGTGCTAGGAATGCAGCTTTGTATTCCTGCCACTGTAGTATCTGTTTCATTTTGAAAAGAAGAAAATGGGTATATGGCTACAGTGAGTTTAGTAAATCACTGCTGCTGTAGTATTATGATAAAAGGAGGTATAGAGCCCTTTGCAGTATAATCAATGCAAGGTGTACAGGTAACTATGGTGCTTGGGGTTCTTTTATGTTAGTGCCCATTTAATTGTGTGAAATATGCTCATTACAAATTGGGGATTTTTTTCTTTTGAAACTTGTTAATCTACTAGATTGGAAAGAAATGTAATTCTGTGAGTAACAGGTTATTCTTTGCATTTGTTTTATTTTTTTGCAACACACTAGGTTGTTGAAAAGGTAGAAAAGCCGAACAACTCTGTAAAAAAACAAAAACGCACATTCATTGATAAGGCGACAAAGCAAAAGTTGGAAGAGAGTTATAACCTGGTCCCTCATCCCAGTAAAACGGAAATCGAAAAAATTTCAAACGAAAGGAAGCTAAAAATTGAAGTAAGTACTGACGATAAGAAGATTTATATCAACTACATTGACATGAAAATTTACAGTTATTTACTAAAGTGAGAATTCAAAGTGAACTTCAGATTTAAAGTGACACTGCAGTCACCGAAACCACTACAGCTTAAAGTGGTTATGTCTACAGCCTGCCCCTGCAGGCTTTCTAATGTAAACACTGCCTTGTCAGACATACTGCATCTACCTCACACACTGAATCCACTACACAAACACACATTCTACATCCACTCTACAAACACAGACACTGCATTCACAACACACACTGCATAACATAATGGATGTGGGCATGTTTTGATGGGTATGACTTGAGAGGGGGGAGGGGGGGCAGCATTTCATCCTTGGACCAAGGCAGCACAATGTCTTGGGCCGGCCGTGAGTTAACTGTTATAGCAACCATCTTGTGGCAGTCACTTTAACAATGAGTTCTAGAGATTTGACTACCAGCATGCACAATTTGGGTAAAAGACGACTCTATAATTAAGGCCAGTTGGACATGTCTCCAATGGTGCCACCTAAACCATAGTTTTGTAAGGAGTTTTTTTCTACATCGCTATTTTGGCCTAACATTTCTCTGAAATCCCTTTTTTAATTTTCACTAATTTCCAGATTAGCAAATAATCCTAAATGTATTAGCTGGGACTAGAGGCAATTGTTCTTGCTGGTACAAAAGTGAATCTTTTAATGTATGAATTATTTATATTATGAATTTCCCAAACGTTTTGCTCTGCATAAATCAAACTTGGTACTTGTGTATTATGTCTGTTTAAATGTGAATAATTTGTTAATCATTTCACCACCTCATATAAGATAATTAGAATCCTTCACATAAGATGAATTCCTTTATTGATCACCCATTACTTTCATTATTTATCAATAGGTTGTTAAAACATGGTTTTGCAACCGTCGCCAGAAGGATAAAAAGGAACTGAACAAACTACTGAAAGAGGCCGTAGCACCTGGTAACTTTGCTCAACCTATTCCAGGTCTTAACACAGGAACCTGTGCCATACCACCAGTGGCAGTACACCAACCTTGCCTAATTGATATGACTGGATCAAATCGTACACCTTATATGGCAATAAACGACTACAATGGACAATTCATCCAATATGCCACATAAATATTGCCTCCTGGAAACCATACTTAGTACACAATGTTATATCCATATTTCTATTTTCCTCTTTTTACAGATAAACCTCTCCTTTGAGCATTAACCCATCTTGATCACTCTTACTTCAGTTTAATGTTGTAGCCTTAACCCTACCACTTTGATTCCCTGTCATCATAATTAAATCTTCATTCTTATTCACACCTTATATAAAATGAATTGCCCAATCCTGCCCACTGCATCGGAAATTCACCATATCTGACACAAGGTAAAACAAAAACTCCATGCATTTCAGTAGGATCATTTTACACCTTACTCTCTGTAAGCTATTCAAACCCTGCTTCTACTCCATAAAATCTATTACAAGCTGCACTTCCTCTCTGTCAATGACCTTGATATCTATTATGCTTCCCACCTCATCTCCAACATCTTTCAACCTCATGTCCTTTATTACAAGAATTTACTCTACACCTACAACTCGCTGGACTTCCCCTTTAGACTGTGTAGTATAACATAGATTGTACAGTTGACAATGCACTTTCCATATATGTATATCTAAAAAGAATAAAAAAGAATAAAAAATAAATAAGTTTGTTTGTCTCTTTGTTTTGACCATGACTTTTGTGAATTTATGCTAATATTTTTGGAGTTGGACACTTCTTTACTAGCATATACTTAGCTTCACACCAAACCTTCTATTTTGTGTAGGGAGTCTATCCAGTAAAGAGTGAATTACGCTGAATGTACAAAAAAGCAAAAAGATAAAGTGTCACAGTGCAAAATAAATATTTCAAAACTAAAAATTAATCATATAAGTGTCATAAAAACAATATATTCTGTTCAGCAACCATTCAAATCATGGCAAAAGATACACTAAAATAATATAAAACTGGTGTTCATAAAATATCTGCCAAATTACAAAAGATACCAATGTACCAAAGTGATACACATATACCTTATCAAATTTTATAACCACCAATCTTAAAGTGGTATAGTTCATGAAAAGAGATACTACAATAGAATGTGTGGTCACAACAATCTTATAAAACTAACACAAATACCTGTTTAAAAAACACTGCATTTACTGAATGTTCAATCACTTTGAAAAATAAGGGATAGGATGGTGATCTTGATCTTAGTTGCCCTATTGCTGCAGAGTGTGTGGATTATGGGTGCTAGGGGGAGACCAAGTTTTTGTAAAACTCCTCATCTACACGTTGTCTTAAAACCATAGACGTATGGCACCTTAATCCCTATAATGAACTGTAAGTAATGTCATTCATCTGGTTCGCACCGGTTTGCATGAACCAATGGGGCCCTGCGGCTTCTCCTGTATGAAACAGGTGCAAGGCCCTCCGTGCAGTCTGCCAGCACCTCCGGTCTGCAGCTCTGCGATCTCTGGCTACTCACAGCATTGCCACGGTTTACCACTGGAGCTGGCAAGATCTCTACTCCATGGTCTGACTGAAGCTCACGAGATCTGACTGGAGCTCTGACTGGAGCGTGCAAGATCTCTACTCCATGTTCTGCAGCTCTGCAGTGCTGGCAGGCTACAGCACACTGGACCACCAGGGAGAAGGAGGAGACCAGCCTCCCCACACTACCATCTCCCATTGTCACCGTCACCACAAACTACCACCCCCCCCCACTGTCACCTCACCCACACACTACTACCCCTCACTGTCTGCTTCCCCACACACTACCACCCTCATTCCAGTGCCCCTCACACTTTCACCACCTCCCACACTGTCACCATGCAAAACACTGTCACCATCCCCACACTGTCACCACATCCCACAATGTCACCAGCTTCCACAATGTCATGAGCTCCCACACTGTCACCACCTCTCACACTGTCACCACCTTCCACAATGCCACCATCCAAAACACTGTCACCAGCTCCCACACTGTCACCACCCTCCACACTGTCACTACCTCCTACACTGTCACCACCCCCACACTGTCACCACCTCCCACACTATCACCACCTCCCACGATGCCACCATCCAAAACACTGTCACCACCTCCCACACTGTCACCACCCTCCACACTGTCACTACCTCCTACACTGTCACCACCCCCACACTGTCACCATTCCCCCACACTGTCACCACCTCCCACACTATCACCACCTTCCACAATGTCACCCTCCAAAACACTGTTACCACCCCCACACTGTCACCACCTCCCACACTGTCACCATCCCCACACTGTCACCACCTCCCACAATGTCAGCATTCAAAACACTGTCACCACCTTCCACACTGTCACAACCTCCCAAATTGTCATCATCCCCACACTATCACCACCTCCAACACTGTCACCATTACCGCACACTGTCATCAACCACCCACACTGTCACCAGCCCCCACACTGTGACCATATGTCCACACACAGGGCCGCCACCAGAAATTTTGGGGCCCCTAACTTAGCTCAGGGTCTGGGCCCCCTAGGGCCCGCCTCCAATCCCGCCCACAGGGACCGCCTCCAAATCCTGCCCACAGGAATACACACATAGACACAAACACACACACTGATACAAAAGGACACAGATACACACACACAGATACATACTAACAGACACACATACTCAAACAGACATACACGCATATAGGCATACATAATGACACACACATACTGAGACATACACACATATACAGACACACAGGCATACATAGTGACAGACAGACACATACTAACATTCATACAGACACACATGCATGAGGACATAAAGACACATACATACATACACACCGACATACATACACACATACATAATGACATACAGACATACATACATTCATACATACATACATATATTCCTACAGACATACATACATGCATACAGACAATGACATCCATACACACATCCATACATACACAGACATACATTCATAATGGCATACAGACATACATTCATACTGGCATACATGCATATATACAGACATACTGAAAGACATACATACATACATACATTCATACATACTGACACATATACACACATACATGTATTCATAATGACATACATAGATGCATACAGTCATACAGACATATATGCATGCTGACATTCATGCATACAGACACACAGACATACATACATATATATATACATACTGACAGACATATACATACATACATACATACATACAGACACTGACATTCATACACACATCCATACATACACAGACATACATTCATAATGGCATATAGACATACATTCAAACTGGCATACATGCATATATACAGACATACTGACATACATACACACATACACGTTCATAATGACATACTGACATACATATATACATATATACATATGTACAGACATACATATATACATACATACAGACATATATACATACATACTGACAGACACACATACATACATACTGACATAAATACACACATACACGTTCATAATGACATACTGACATACATATATATATATATATATACATACGTACGTACAGACATACATACATACATATATACATACATACATACAGACACACAGACATGTATACATACATACTGACAGACACGCAGACATATATACATACTTACTGACATATATCCATACATACAGACATATATACATACTTACTGACATATATCCATACATACAGACATATATACATACATACTGACATATATACATACATACATACAGTTGCAAGAAAAAGTATGTGAACCCTTTGGAATGATATGGATTTCTGCACAAATTGGTCATAAAATGTGATCTGATCATCATCTAAGTCACAACAATAGACAATCACAGTCTGCTTAAACTAATAACACACAAAGAAGGAAATGTTGCCATGTTTTTATTGAACACGCCATGTAAACATTTACAGTGCAGGTGGAAAAAGTATCTGAACCCTTGGATTTAATAACTTTTTGAACCTCCTTTGGCAGCAATAACTTCAGCCAAACGTTTCCTGTAGTTGCAGATCAGACGTGCACAACGGTCAGGAGTAATTCTTGACCATTCCTCTTTACAGAACTGTTTCAGTTCAGCAATATTCTTGGGATGTCTGGTGTGAATCGCTTTCTTGAGATCATGCCACAGCATCTCAATCGGGTTGAGGTCAGGACTCTGACTGGGCCACTTCAGAAGACGTATTTTCTTCTGTTTAAGCCATTCCGTTGTTGATTTACTTCTATGCTTTGGGTCATTGTTCTGTTGCAACACCCATCTTCAGAAATCCATATCATTCCAAAGGGTTCACATACTTTTTCTTGCAACTGTATATACATACATACAGACACACAGACATATATACATACATATAGACATATATACATACATACTGACATACATGCATACAGACACACAGACATACATACACACACACACACACAGAGCTAATTTTTCAGCCACCCTTCTGTTTCTTACCTTTTCTTTGCAGGAGGGTGGCTGGGGCTGATAGGAGTCCCTCTTCATCCCACTCTGGCTCTCCTCCCGCGCGTAGTGAGCAAAAAAATGTCTAATGGGAGCAGAGCCTGACCGCCAAGCTGTGCAGATGTGTCTGGCACGAGCTCCTGCCTGGCGGGCAAAATCTGGGGCAAAAGCGGCGGCTACATAGCCCAAGGTCCTCCACGGGTGCACCACCCATGTCGGGGGTGCCCCACTGAATCGAACGACACCACCCTGGGGTGACACCAGCACAGGAATCCAAATGCGGCCTACTGGGGCTGGAGCTGGGGGGAGGCAGCCGCTCTCCTCAGTGCCTGGGGCACTCAAGTGACTTCACCACAGCCTACCCCACCTCCCCCTGGACCGGTGGGGGATATCCCGGTCCCCACTGGATGAATCGACCAGAACGGAGAGACATGCCAGCTACATGGCAGACTGGGGCACAAGGCCACCAAGGCACATTCAAAATGGCACAGACCTAAAGAGTGGAGTGCCCGCACCCAGCCACCCACGCCACCTTTGGGGACTTTTGACCAGCTCTGCATAAGCTTCTGGGACGCGCTGCACAGCCGAGGAGCAACCTTCCACCAAGCAG